GTGTCTATTTTTTCATCAGTTAAATGAGGGACGGGACCTTTGATACTCAGTCTTGCTTCCAGCTCTGCAGCCTACGAGCACCATGCTCTGGCGGACACTTGGCACTAGCCGGGGATTTTGGCGTGTGGCGAGGCGGAGGGAAGGGGAAAGACAGCCGCCCACACAAGGGGCTGCAGGGACGCAGGTCTGTGTGGGGACCTGACTGGGGACGGCACAGACGGGGTGTGGAATGGGGGCCCAGCGTGAGTGCCCGGGCTTTCCGGGGAGGGTGAGGAGTGCCAGTGTCACAGTTTTGTCTGCAGGTCCCGAGAACCCACAGCTGAACCCAGTCAAAGTCCACCTGCCCTCTGAGTTTCACTTTTGAGAGGATGACGATGGATAGCAGGTGCCTGTGCTATTCTGATTCGAATCTCATTTTCGGAGGGCCTCGGGGATTTGCCTCTGCCTTCAGCTTGGGTGAGACTGCATGAATCCTCCCTTCACCAAAGCCCCAGAGGAACCGGGGGCCACCTCCACCCTCTCTGGCTGTCCTGCCGTTCTGTCCCTGCTCAGTGCACCCGGGGCTGTGACCTGTCTTTGGCACCTGCTGTATGGATGAAGGATACACCTGAGACCAAGTGAGGAGAAGACCCTGTAGCCCCCGGCTTCACCCCTGAAGGGGAGGGGGAGACAGGTGAGTGGTTTGGAAAGCCCCTGGTGCCGGGTGGCCACGGGAGTCGGGGGAGTTGACTGAGATGGGAAACTAGAGCACACAGAGTCAGCGCCTGCAGGGACGCGCTGCCACCCGTTCCGCTGCGTCCCGCTTGGACTGCACATTTGCATTCCACTGCTCACTTTTCAAAGCACTGTTGTAGCTCACTTGATCCTCACGGTGTTCCTGCAAAGCAGGCCAGGTGAGGAAGGGGCACTAGATCAAAAATTAAGAAACCAGGATCACATTATTCGTTTTTCATGTCTCTGAGCCTTGATGTCCTCGTCTGTCATGTGGGGATGGCACAGTTGGAAAAATGTTAGGGTGATTGTCTCCATCAGAGGAGAGAAAATAGAGGTTTAAGAAAGTAAAGTGAGATGTCCAACGTCACCGTGTCTCCTAGAACTCATATTGTACTTTGCTTTCTCTTTATAAAAATATGTTGCTTTAACATATGATAAACTATAGCCGTTTTTTAGGTCTGTATAGATACATAAGCTTCAAACTTCGTGAACTGAATTTATTCTCGCCACTTAATTACTATGGCTATTTGGCATTTTGAGGATTTAACATTTAAGGCTTTTAAAAGAAAAAAATCCTAATGACCCATGATATGTAGTAATTTGTAGTTTTCTTTGATATGAATTTTAGTAGTGCAGGATAAGCCTTGAAATTCAGAATTGTTATTCACCTAATGCCTAAACATAATCTACCACTTATTGTTGCATTCTAACACATACATTTCATCCAGAAAATTAAACCAAATATGGGATTTTAAGAATTTGATGATACATCTACATACTAGGTCATATATCTTGACATTAACAAAATTTGCCACATTTAATAAGAATAACAGTTTCAGAAGACTCTTGCTCTACATTCAAATGGCAAAACAGAGATGTCAAAAGCTTATAATTAAAATGTTTTGATTTAAATTTGCAATTTAAGTCCAGATATCTATTTCCAAAAATTGTGCCAAAGATTTTCAACATGCTGACAGCAAACTCCATGGCAGGGTTTTTCCTTGGCATTATTGACATTCGGGGCTGGATGGGTCTTTGTTTGGGGCTGTCCTGTGCATTGCAGGATGTTTAGCAGCATCCTTGACTTCTGCCCATTATAGGTCCCCTCCCCCCAGTCGTGACAACCAACAATGTCTCCAGATGTTGCCAAATGTCCCCTAGGGGCAAAACCATCTTCTTCCCCATTGAGAACCCTGGCCCAAGGCAGTTATTCTCCCCTTTTATTCTCTCTCGAAAATCTATCCCTGAGCACCAGAGAAGGTTAAGATGTAGTTTGACAACATTCTTCAAAGCTGCATTGATCTGGGCAATGGTTTTCAGGGTTCATTTGTAGGCTCCCCCACCACCCGCTTCAATATAATTGACCTAAAAGAACACAAATCTATACGGTGCTTCGTAGCAAGTGTGGGTTCTTTTTAGTTCACACAAGTGAGGGTTGGTGCTTGGTGTGGTCTGTGTGGGGCTTTCTTTGCTCTTACTTGGTGGAAAGAGATGTTTCTGCTTTTCACGAGAGGCATCGGGGAGACATCCGCACCATCCTCAGTCTAAGGGAGTGGCTGATGAGATGCAGGGGTGAGGCACTGCCGGTTCGTGCTGCCTTGTAAGGCACAGTCCCACTTTGGCGTAAATATGTCAGTGCTTTTTTAGATCTAGGTATTGTGACTGGGCTCATGTCCATTTCCTTAGATACGCCTTAAATGAAAGCACATATTTTTTTAGAAAGCAAAAAGAATAATACTTGGGTAATAATAATCTCCTGAATCATCGGTTATTCATCTCCATTTCAGACTGTTGATTCTCCCCCTGCCCCCTAAAATCTTACCAGAATTAGTTTCTGGGGAAAACAAAACAGAAATTAACTCAACATTGCCCCTAAGCTGGTTCTTCTACTTGGTGTGAAGCAAATTTCTTTCAATAAAATACTTGCCACATAACATATAATATGTCTTAGGCTTCTTTCACTCTGAATTTTTCATTTTTCAGCAGCAAATCTAGCATTCAATCTTTGTCCTTCCTGGTAAGTTTCAGACTTCTTAGTTGTGCAGAAGGTTTTTTATTATGCCGGTAGAGGGGGCTTCTTGGGTTTGCCAATCTCTGCCAGTTGGGCTATTTCTTTTATCCATTCCCATATGTTTTCAAGATCCTAAAAGGGCGTTTTAAGGGTGTTTCCTTGTTTGTCTTCTGCTGTAGCCCCATTTCCACCACTCTTTCCTCCGCTTTCTAAAGCTTCCCGGTGCCCCTGGGCTGAGTGTTGGCACTGGATGTTGGCTTCCTGGTGGCAGCGTGGGAAGCAGAGCCTTCCTGCTCTTTCCTCCACATGTAGAAAACTGTAGTGAAGATGGACTTTGCAAGAGAAGGTGGGAGGAGGATGAGAAAAAGATATTTAAATTCTTCTCTAAAATTTCTGCATGCTCACAACAAATGGACTTAAGGAGTGTTTTTAAAATATGATTGTCCCTTTAGCTCAAGAGTGCTTTTCATTTCAATCAGAAAGCTCCCTAGGCCTAAAAAACAACTTAAAGTACCGCGTGTTAGGTAGGGGCTGGGATGTGGTCAATAACTGCCGAGAAATGGAGCCAAGCCCGTTGCACTGGTTGTGAAGGGGTTGATGTGGGTTCCTTGTCCACACTGCACAACCAGTGGGGACCGCGGAGTGTGCTGGCTGTGTCACAGCCTCACTGAGGCACAGTCATCCTTTCCCTCGTGTTTGCTCCAGGAAGCATGGTGAATTTTCCAGGGCACAGTCTGTCTGGTGTGGTCGCCTCCTTCTTCTTCATCCTGCTGACCATGAAGCAGTCAGGTAGGACGCCCTGCTCCCTTTACTGTGTACTTTAACCTCCCAGTGAGCCAGTCCAGTGCAGGGTTCTAAACTCAAAAGGACTAGAACAACGTCTAAGAGTGCAGGTCCAGTGGCCAACGCACCTGTGTTCTTAAAAGGGCTCCTCCACTTCCAGCAGGGTCACCTTTGGAAAGTTATTTGAGCGCTTTGTACCTTAGCTTCTTCATCTTTATGATGAGAAGAACAATGGTACCTGTGTCTCAGAGGCTAGCAGAGGCTTCGGGGTTAAATGAGATGTGAAAAGCACTTGAGCCAGTGGCTGGAGCATGTTAAGTTCCTCATCCATCCTCCCACTTCCCGCAGGACAGCCCTTTGGGGACAAGAAAAGCAGCTGCTTCTTGCCATAAATTAAGCAGCATAAAAATACTCGGGAATAAGGAACTAGAAGGAGACTTCCAAGAAATGGACTTGGAAAGCTCAGTATGTGAATTTTGTCAGTCAACATGTTGCACCTTGAAAAAGAATTGTGGAAATTCGGTGTCAGAGGGAGATACAGGCCCAGGGAAAATGCAGTACGTGACGTGCGACAAACCCTGGACAGGGCATCCAAGGCACAGGCTCCACTCAGCACTGCGGAAATCCTGTGACGTGGGGGGCTGCTTCCTCTCTGTGCTCGTGCTGCAGGTCCCCACCCTGTCATGATCAGTCGGATAGAATGACTTCAGTCCCAGCTTCGCAGTGAGACTCTATCCGTGAAGAGCGGAAGCAGATCTCCACGCAAGCTCTGTGGAGACCTTTTGAACAGCATCTAGAAATCACTGCCCTTACTCCACCACAAAATGTCCTTGTGAAAATTGCATTGTACATGATCCCGGTACCTTCTCCAGGAAAAAAAAAAAGCACAGTTCCTCGGGAGCAATCCTGATAGCTGAAAAATCTAATAAATGAATTTATTACCTAAATTTTAGGAAAATGACAAAAATGTTAACACTAACGATAATATAGTAATAGTTTCAAATTTAAAAAATCAATTTACATATTAACTTATTTCAACATAAAAATAACCCACAGAGGGTGGTTTTAGTGTCTTAAAGATGAAGAAATTAAGACTTCAAATCTCAAAGTCTCACTGAGAATAATAATCGATTTGCCCCCAAATCACGCAGGTGATAAATGACAGACTCAGCATTTGAGCTCAAATTTTTGACCTGCATTTCTTTTCAGTACACGAAATTGTCTCTGTAACAAACAAATATGCAAATCGCCAGGCTGGATTTCTCTAAGACGTTGAAAATGAAGCCCTCCCTCCTCTCGGTGCCTCCCTTTTGATGGGCTGACACCCCAAAGCGAGCGCGTCGATTCTCTGCGTGGCGTTGTCTGGTTCCTCTCTTTCTCTCTGTTTTGTAGATGACTTTAGGGTGGTTGGTCCTGCCCGTCCTGTCCTGGCCAGGCTAGGGGAGGACGCCCTGCTCACCTGTCAGGTCCTGCCCAGGAGGACGGCCACGCACATGGAAGTGCGGTGGTACCGCGCGGAGCCCGGCGCGCCGGTGTTTGCGCACCGGGACGGGGCCGCGGTGCCCGAGATGCAGGCGGAGGAGTACAGGGGCCGGGTGGAGTGGACAGAGGACGACGTTGCTGAGGGACGTGTGGCCCTGAAGATACGCAACATCCAACCATCTGACGATGGACAATACTGGTGCCACTTCCAGGAGGGAAACTGTGGTGGAGAAACAAGCTTGCTCCTCAAAGTGGCAGGTGACTATCTGGGAAAAGACACAGGGTCTCGGAGGGAGAATTATGCTAATTTGCAGTAAGCTGATTGTCAGTTGGAGAATTCCCTTTGAATCATCAAGGCAATTCCGAATGCCCAATCCTCTACCCTGATTCACTTCAAAGCAAGTGGTTCTGGAGTTTTCAAAGCAAGCTCACTGGAAAAATATTTTCCTAAATTTAACTGAAGTGGTTTTGACTATTCTTTTTTTTTAGTGTAAAATATTAAAGGAGTACAAATGCTTTTGGTACGTGGATAGCTTTTATACTGCTTAAGTCAGGGCTGTTAGTGTGCCCATCCCCTCAGTCGTGCTCACTGTACCTGTTAGGTAGGTTTTTACCCCTCACCTCCTCCCCGCTCCCCCTTCTTGATTTCCAATGACTATTACTTCTCTCTGTGCACATGGATTAGCTCCAAATTGTTAGAGAGTACTTGTGGTGTTTGTTTTGACAATTCTTGAGGATTATTTGAAATCCATGACATGCAGGCATTAGCAATTCTGAGGCAGGATCTGTGCCACTCAAGGCTGGTGAGCAGAAGCGAGTCGCCTGCTGGATGAGCCAGCCCAGCTGCCTGCCCAGCACCCATACCTTGGGGAAGTGGCTGCTTTCTACCCAGCCTCATCTGTGCAGTAACTGAGATGTGAAAATTTTGTGTCTTTGTGAAATTCCTCCAACTGGGAAGCTGGCGCTGAGACCAAGAGGTTAAGAATGTTATGCTTTTATGGAGATTATCATATATCAGGTCTGATGAATTGGGGACTCAGAGGTGCTTCTGGACACACCCACTATGAATGACAAGGATCTGCAGAATGCTACTGTGTCAGCAAAGCAGGAAGGGGTGGGGAGGAAGGGGGCAAGTGAAGAATAGATCTCTCTTATGGAAAAATAAGTATTTGAACAGTAAACTGTCCTCTGGTTTCCTGATGGGAATAGCTCCTCCATGTCCTAAAGGGACCGTCAGGAGAATCCATTTACTGTACCAGGGAACTAGTTCTCTAGAGATGCTAATGTCCCTGGCTGGCACTGCTTCCTTCCCTAGTCCCCCATGAGGCAGCTTCCTAGCATTTTTTTCCTTAACACTCATAGCTGTTATTATTACTGTTACTATATTCTTGGTGATTCAAAATGAACTAAAGAATCCATGTTTTTCTGCCGCGGGGGGTGAGGAGGGAAGATACTAATGCATTTCACTATCATGGACCTTTATATATAAGCCACAAATTCTCTAAGGCTCCAAGTGAAGAGCGTGGTCTCTTCCCCCAGCAAGTGATAAAGACAGAATTTCCGTCTGTGGAAAATATGGTCCTCTGTTTGGGTTTGGGAGTTTCGTTTTCAATAGAGAAAGAATTTCATGATTACATAGACTGTTCTAAATTAGGATTTCCCAAAAAACATTTTCTCCAGTGAACAGAATATTTAGATACAAAGAACTTCTCATGGAACCTCCCATTTCACACGCTCCCGTTTATCCACTCATATCCCAAGGTCATGACCACCAGCAAAAGGAATGGGAAGGCTAGACCCCAGGAAAGTGATTTCTGACTTTATATTAAATATTCTGCTCACATTGGAATCCAGATATCATCTAATATGTCAGACAAAGTGCCTGATACAGACAATGTTAAGATGAAAAGGCAGAGTTTGAAGCATGGAGAAATTCCTGAGTAAATTACACATCTTTGTTTGCAGTACTAGAGACACAGCAAAATGTCATTATAGCCCCCTTCTCATAGTCACCTGTCTGCATCTGAAGAAATATACTAGTCAGATGGTAAAATGTAAAGATCCAGACTGGAGAACAAGTAAAGTGTAACTGAGCTCCAGTTTGAATGGGGAGAAGACTGTGTCCCCCTTTCTGCTCCCCAGACCGCTGAACTCCTGTCCTCTCCCTGTGAGCACAGTCACTGGGATCTCGGTCTCCGTAATTTGTGCCTCCACGGGCTCCAGGACTCAGTGCTGCGGCTTCTCCCTGCAGGTCTGGGCTCTGCCCCTGACATCCACATGGAGGAATCTGTGGGAAGCGGAGTCCAGCTTGTGTGCACAGCAAAGGGCTGGTTCCCAGAGCCCCAGGTTTACTGGGAAGACACCTGGGGAGAGAAGTTGCTGACTGTGTCTGAGCGTCACATCCAAGAGGAAGACGGCCTGTTCTACGTGGAAGACACACTTGTGGTCAGGAATGTCTCTGCAGAGACCGTGTCCTGCGTCATCCACAACCCCATCCT